TATTTAATCCAGATTGGAAAGTGACCAAAAAAAGTCCGTTGCTTGTTTTGCAGCGAACTATAACAGTTTCAATATTCGAGATTTTGCGGAAAAAGGGAAGAACCTCCCAACATTCGTACTGTATAATGTATTGGCCAAAAAAATGAAATTATTTTGACTATTAAATTACTTTCCCTTTATTTAAGCCATTCCGAATATTATTCCTTAGAAAGCTAATCTGTGTTAAAACACAACCATTTTTGGAAGTTTACTACTGTTATATTTCAAATTTCGAGGGTCACGGCACCAAATGTTATATATATTTTTTGTTTAATAAATGTTATACAGTCAAAAGTCGTTAATTCGGACACCCATAATCCGGAATGATCTATAATCCGGACCTCAAAGCTAAAAACTTCCTGCGCATGCGCCGCGTTGGCACATGCGCACAGACGTTTTACGCGTGCGCGTAACCTTGCGCGTGCAAATACGTTTGCCGTTGTTAACGGACTACTGCGCAAGTGCATTGAATACGTCTTCGAATGCAGAATACGTTTTCGCCTGCGTGTTTAATGTATAACGGACGGTGTAAGCTAAAATTATCTAATTATCTATTTCAGTTAATGTTAATGATTGCATTGTTCCTTAATCTTCGAATTGGATCCCGCTTATTATTTTTTGCAGACTGTAAGAGCAATTTTATAAAAGTAAACTTGAACTTTCGATTATGTCAAATAGAATTTCCGATGCTGGAACTTCCAAAGGATCTACAAAACGAAAGTATGTTTCGATGTCCAACAAACAAAAAGTGGAATTGCTTCAAAAAATGGATAAAGACATGAAGAATGTCACAGAGAGGTTAGTGAAAACGAAAAAATTTCGATTGACAAGTTAGTCGGTATTCTCGGCACAGCAATTAACGGGACTTGAACAGCGGAACTTTGTAACTGAACAAGAAATTATGTCTTGTTATAGAATTAAAGAGAAAGTATGATCACATAAAACGAAGCAACTTAAACAACTTACATTGAAAGAAATGTTTAATAAATTAAACAAATAAATATTAAGCTTTTTTTTTTTTTTTTTTTTTTTTTGTAAATTTTGATACCCTTTAGATCATAATTGTTCTTTATTTCATAAATTACGGTTTCATATTTTTAATTTTAGAATTTCTGCATGCCATATTACGAGATTTAAACTGATGATCTATAATCCGGAAAAATCGATAATCCGGAATCGCCGAAGTCCCGACGAGTCCGGATTAACGACTTTTGACTGTATTTGTTTGTTGCTATTGTGCCGCAATAACCTGTAATATACTTGGAAAGGACTAAGGGTAAAATGTGTGAACTAGGAAATAAAAAATAAAATTTAACTTACCCCAAGATGACAACATTGACTCGTTGAAACAATTCACAATTTATTAGTTAGCCAGACTGTAAAGATATATATAAAAAAATATCACATTGCCAGACATAAAACAACTAATACAAGGCGCACATGAAGCTGCTCGTGAGTAACAGACGAAGTCCAGAAGAATCCTAATTCATCTGCGAAAGTACTGTCCTTACGTGAATAGCATATTTCAGTAGAGTTAGCTACATTAAAGTTGCTTACGTTTTTGATGAAATTAATTCAAATGCAATTACAGTTCGGAAACTTATACCTCAAGAATTAGCACGTGGCTGTGTGACTTCTTGGGACGAACAAGAGTTCGATGAAATTCTGCGCAAAATATTTTCCGTAACAAAACATTATCAGAGGATGGTTCTTGAAACGGTACCTTTCAGGCAATTAACCAAAAGAGTTCTTTTAATATGGATTTAATTCGATGGGACTCCAAAGATGAAAAATGGCTAACTCAGGCAGCCAGGGAAAAGGACATCTCAGAAAGTGAGGACTCGGACAGGTCCGTCCTACCTCGACCAACTCCAGCAGCAGAAGAGAGCGAGAAACCGGTTTCGTCCTTCAAACTCGCCTCGTGGTTAGTGCCGGTTGCAGTTAACATCTCATGTGGAAGCTTGCCTTCACAACTATACTTCAGCAGTTACTGCAACTATGTTATTATAAACATCCATACATATGCTCATAATATAAGCATAACGATCATAATAAACACGAATATGAACTGACCAAGCGGAACGAGAATGCAAATTATTAAGATCTTGATAGAAATTCAAACGTGTGTAGTATTTGGGTGGGAGGAAAAGAATGCCGAATGTACTGGAATTTTCAACTGCTATCGCAATTCTTTGACCAACAAAACGACGGGCACCTGTCTGTACTCTCCGTCCAGACCAAAGGTTATGTTAATGCAGAAAAAGGGGGAAAAGCTATTTCCGGGAGTATGATTCACCATCTGACATTCCATATTAGGAAGAAAAGCTGTTTATTTAGTTTCGGCTTTGGTACGGGGAAAAATTACGCTTTCATTTAAAAAAAAAAAAAAGCACTGAAAACAAAAAATAAGCACTAAAAACAAAAAAATAAGGGCTTTAAAGAAAAAGTAAGCACCTATAAGGGCCTTTATATTTTATTTTCAAATATAAGGACTTATAAGGACCGCTACGAACCCTGTATAAGAAGAGCTAAAAGAATATTAATCAAAAGTTTGAAACTTTTTCTTCTTTCATAACAGTAAATTTTTACTTTTGCCATTTAATCATTTGCTACTTTACTTAACTTCATTTTACACGCAGATTTCAAATTTGTGCATCATATATTTATTAAGTCGTAGAGTCATTAGAATATTTTGAAGCAGGAGACATGAAAAATGTGCAGTGCCCTTACTGGACCGCTCGAATAGATGCCGAGTGTGCTACCGTTACACCATGAAGACATGATTGAAGCAGGAGAAAATACGTTATTTAGTCTTTCTGAATATGCATCATATGTGTTAGTTCTTCAAAAATATTATAAATGACAGTTGTAAGCATGCTTTTTCCACAACAGAAATGTTTTAAGACAAGCAGCAAAATTTATTAGAATATAAGATATTTATTTTCTTCTTTGTGTGTAGCCAAGGCAATACAGTACAAAGTCCATAATCCGGATTATAGATCATCAATTTAAATCTGGTAAGATGGCATGCAGAAATTATACAATTAAAAATATGAAACTGTAATTTATGAAATAAAGAGCAATTATGATCTAAAGGGGTATATAAAAAAAAGCATAGTATTTATTTGTTTACTTTATTAAACATTTCTATCAATGTAAGTTGTTTCGTTTTTTGTGCTAATATTTTCTCTTTAATTCTATAAACAGACATAATTTCTTGTTCATTTACAAAGTTCCGCTGTTCAAGTCCTGCAATTGCTGTGTTGAAAATACCGACTAACTTGTCAATCGAAATACCTCTTTGTCACTTTCTTCACTATTGGAAGTGCGCACGGGTAAACACTTTACGCACATGCGTTGGATTATAGATCATTCCGGAAATGGACGTTCGGATTACGGACTTTGTACTGTATATAACTCCTTATCCAGCCTCTTTTTGCAATCATTGGTCATAGTCATATACTTCCAATTAGAGATAAATGTTTTAAATGACAAAAATATTCATGTTTTAGCAATACGGAATTTTAAAAAGATTAATTTTTGACAAATAACGAAATCTAACTACATATATAATGAGAGTTTATATACATAGTTAAGTCTCACTATAAATATTTAACATTTAATATCAGTTTATTGCTGTTCCAAAAAGAGTCATATGGAGTTCACATTAGATTTTTTTTAAATATTCCAAAGCACATGGAGGCTGTCTAAGAGGAGGAATTCCTTTGTAAAGGACTTCTCTAAGGAAAGATGGCTTGTATTCACATTGCACACGGGGAAAATCACGAAAAACATGCAGCCAGCTCGTTTGTTTTGGTTGTACTCTGGGGCAAATTATCAGTATTCAGCAATCTTTAAAAGCTCGGCCACTGGTGAGACCGCTTAAATTATGAGGTAAATAATCATATTCTATTTACTATTTGATTTGAAATCATTTAAACTAGTATTATATTCTCAGGCACAAACAACATAGTTCTGTTGATGCATGAGTTTTTAATAACAATCTGAGTGCAATGGAACATTAAGTTTTCTTTGCTATTATTGTATCCATTTTGTATTCTTGGAAGCCTAGAGATGATTATTTCTCTGCATAATTTATACTGGGAAGATTAACCAGGTGTTCAAATTAAGTGACATTATGTTTATATTGCAAAACGAGGTGACAAAGCACAGCTGCAGTTTTAAATGTATGTCTGACTAGCTGAGAATTAAGCAGATGATCTTGTTATTCATTCGGAAACCGTTGTTTTGCACAATAACTTATCTTTCCACTGGTCAATGATCATTTCGCAGAGCCACTCTGACCTGAAAATAAGTATGTGTACTTAATCATCTCTTCTGCTCTTCAAATTTATTTCGTTGCAAGTATTTCCGCTTCCCAAAAGCTGAAGTGCCTTTTCAAAGGAAAGCTCCTTTTTTTTGGCATGGAAGAGATAAAAGGTTTGTTTTATTAGATTACGGCAAAGCACTCGACGGCTATCTGCCTTAAGGGAGGGATACCTTCGTGGAGGACTGTTCAAGGGAAACCAGCTCGTATACACGTTTCACATGGGAAAAACCACGAAAACACCCATGCAGCCAGCCCATTCACGGGATTCGAACCTCGGACCGACCTACCAGTATTCAGCAACATTACCACTCGGCCGCTGGTGGGGAAAGCAGTTAAAAGGAATGCAGCATTCTACTCTTAGAGCCGTGCCTAAAACAGACCTCTACAAGACTCTCGTATTTATGTTTGTATTGTTTTAGTTTGCATTAGAGTTACACCTTTTTTAGTGTGTATTTATTTTAGCATTAACAAATGCTACTAAATTTTCTCATTATTAAAATTTTACTGGTTGTTACTGGCATCATTAAATTTACTAATACATCTCATTTATTACTTTCATATGAGTAACTACATTCATTTTCAAATTTTGTAAAGATCAATTTATATTCCGAAAAAGAAAATCACACAAAAGTAAAATATTTGAAATGCTTTATTTTATTTATACACTGTACTGTCTCACCATGGTACCATGAACACAATATTTCTCCAAAGAAAAACCGGAAGTTTTAAAGTTAAGTATGTAAAGCTAAAGATTCACACACTACAATAGATAAAAAATCAATTTTTTTTAAATATTCTGGCACTCAAGTCACATTTCCTTAACTGGAATATATAATGTGTTTGGTATTAAAAATATGAAACATAGCTGCAAACAAGCAGTATATAGATAGTGGCTTTTCATGGTCCCCAGCATTCGGATTTCAGTACTTCAAATGTTATCCTTCTGCCTTCACCGTAGGCACATCTCCAGCTGCTATATCAACAACTTCATTCCCAGTTAATTCACCAGGCATGACACATTTCCATAATCCATAAGTTTTGCCCACAATAGTTTGCCACAAACGCAATGTTCCATCTTCACTCCCACTGGCATATAGTTCTCCATCTGGTGAAAACTGCACACAGTGAACTGGGCCAAAATGTCCTTTAAATGATTCTAAAAGTATAACAAACAAAAACATTAATAAAGTGCCAAATATTTTGTCTCAAATCCTAGAATAAAATATTTAAAAAATAATAATATAAATAAAAGGAATAAACTTAAAAATTACAGTGAAAAGAAACAAGATAGTTAAGAAATTTTATTATACAGTTTGTTGAAAAGTCAGAATATTTTCAATGCTGCTGATTATATACAATGAAAAACACACAGTTCCCAAGTTACAAGATATTAATCATTACTGCCAAGTGGATGTTAAGGCCAACTATATGTTTTGGTACATATTTGTGAACTTATATTTAATATATGCTATAGTTTATTGCAGCATACTTAAATGATAAAAAGATGCAGAGGTAGGTAACTTCCTCTCCTTCTGCAATTAATCTTAAATATGCTACAACACATAAACTATCCACTTCTCATAGAATGTTCATAGGACATTTTTTTGCTTACGTTCCGAAACAGAAAGCACTCACAGAACTGGGTGACATTATTCTAGAATATCATATGCATATTTAAATAGAATAATATCGATTACAAATTGCTATGCTGAAACATTAATTTATTACACAATTCTTTATATTAAAAAACTTTATATTCAAGAATGACAAAATTTACCTAGTTCCGTTCCCGTTTCAAAATCAAATTTGTACATCTTAAAATCATCGCCACCACATACAAATACTGATTGATCTGGATGAAGGGAAGCACTATTAACTTGAGATGGTACACTGTATGTCTTCAATTTTTCAAAACTTTAAAGAGAGAAAAGGTGAAAATATCATACAATGACTGTCATACAATATATATATATATACAAGTAAATTATATAAAAAATTTGCATAATTGGTAAAAAGGCTCACTATGTGTTTTTCTCTATTATAAATTGTCTTGAGTATTTTATTCTATGAAAAGTTTACATACAGATTATGAAATAAGACAAGGTCTACACATGTTTTAAAAATACAGTGATTTATTTTTAACACCCCCCACATACATACAAAACACCAGAAAATGATGTTAAGTCCAGCAATATTAAATTATAATTATTACCTATAATGGTATAAATACTTATTTTTTACTTTTATAACCTTCCATTCATTAAAATATTTTAATTGTAAGGGAAAGGAAAACAAAATATTTTGAATATCAGGGTAATATATAATAAATGACAAGTGGAAAACTAAGCAAGAGATTGTCTCACTGACTTATAGCTTTCTGCCAAACCCAACGACATGCAGAAGGTCGATTACAGTGGAGTTATCTATGTCATGCACAATTATACATGGGTCAGTTGCAATCCATTCTGAACAGAATCAACATTTACGCTCAATACTATTTTATGAAAGCCTGTTGATTATATTCTCTTGCAAATATGAAAACCTGATTCAAGAACTTTGAACCTGGACTTAAAACTAATCTGAGCTAATACTTAAAAGACAAATTTAAAAGAGTGCACTTCTGTACTGTCTTACTTTCACTTTATAGCAGCAGTAATTTTAAGAATGCTCTGGTGGAAAGGTTTCTTGCCGAATTATAAAACAGCCCAAACTTTCTTGGCAACCCAATACTTTAATCCAAACATTTGACATTTTACTTCAACTATAAGAGTGCAAAAATGTTTTATTAAAAAATGTTAGGATCCCAAAACTCATTTCTTTTACATTTGAATCAGACCCAAAATACAACTTAAGAATGCCAACAATAATCCTAATTTTGCTATATAAAAGTATGTTACAAATTAGCAACAAAAAAGAAACAAAGATTTTCAAATGAGAGACAATTAAATATAATATTTAAAACTGATACAGACAACAGATAAAACATTGCTATTATAATATATCAACTTTTAAAACTTAAGATTGTATACAGACATGGTATTTTTTACCGCCTAAGTAACTTACAAAATAATACATGTTATAGATGTAGTAAACTGAGAAATGTTTTAAACTTGGTTTAATTTAATAAGCTTGAAAAAAATAAGCTTTTCTCTTTTCCTTCTGTATGTGTTACAATACAATATTGATTAGATAGTACAAACAAACACTGCATTGTATGTTAATTTTATTAACAAGGTTGAAGAAATTCCCAAATAAACAAGATACTGTGAGGTTATTCTCATTGTTTAAGCCACAGTCATAATGATATGCAAAGCTTCTAATGCAAAAAGGCTACAATTATTTTAATTATGCATGCTGTATAACAAAATATTTTCAGATTCATAATGCTCACTAAAACTAAACAAGACTATAATTTAAAAAAAGTTAAATGCTTACTTATTTACATCCCAGAAACTAACAGAATGCCCATGAGGAATAACCAAGATATTTCCACTTAAAGACAGTTCTAAATTGTTAGGTTGAGTTTCAAATTCAAGTTTCTTTATTTCTTCATGTGATGTTAAATCCCAAAATCTAAAAAATAAGCAAACATAATGGTAACACACAGCTGGATTAAACAAAAATGATAACATAATTATCTAGACACATTTATTCTCAACTGAGTCTATTTGGTCATAAAAATATTCTTCAAGCCTACTGACATTTGACTTTTTTCATTCTCTTAGCTTCTTAGGCACATGCTTAGGTTTTTGCAAAACTTCTTGATTATAGCAATCTTGGTGAGAATCAGATGATTACTGATACATCTGCAACAACTTTTTTGCAGCAAGAACAAAAATAATTTTAAAAATGGCATAATTTTCCTAACGACTAAAATTCAGTTAACAACTCGAATTGAATTTCCAAATATTAATGCAACTGAATATTAAGATGAAAAAGAAGGCTTCACTTTTAAAAAATGCCTATATTACGACCCTTTCCTGATTAAGAAAGAAAAAAGTTGTAGATTGTTTTCACTTTTATGCGCAGAGATGATTTATCAAATGGCTGCAGAATGATAAAAACAGATTTTCATTTAAAACCCATTCCACCTTTGTTTCATCCAATGGTAGAAGAAATAGATGACTTGTGAGGATTTGTTAACTTAATTTGTGAGAATGCATACTTGATTTATACACATGAAGATGCATGAACTGAAGTAAAATCTGAAATTCAATTTAAAGCTCATGTGCAAATTATTATTAATAGAGAATAGAACATGAAAAAGATTTTAGTTTAGCAGTAAAGAAGAGCTTGGCTGAAGGATTACCATAATGACAACATTGAAGGTAAATAAAAATTAGGCACATTTTAATATTTTTGCCTTTTCATAGTTTTTGCACTTGGGCACTATAATCAATAAGTACTGTTTTTTGTCTTATCTAAAAAAATTACTAATGAATCGTTTCATCAACCAAACCCTATTTTTTGTCTTATTTAACCATAACTAACATTGCAACTATGTAGACTGCAATCAGTAATCTCAAGCTTCTTATACATTAAAAAGTCTGAAATATAGACAGGGCTTGTGTATACTTTTGCATAAGAACTTTTAAGGACCTGTCAGCAAATGGAATTTAATAAATTAAAACAATTATCAGTGCAACTAACTTCACTCTTGTAGTGTGATTCTAAAAATAAAAACAGAAGTACACATAGGATTCATTACTATTAAACATAACCTAATATTAAATGCAGGTAGCATGACAAACCTGTGCATGTATTTTGGATGTGCAAAAGAAATTCCTAAAATTCTTTTTTTAATAATATTGAAAATTACACGAGAAAACTTCTTGAAATGATATATGGGGCACTCAAATATATGATACAAAACTTTTAAATATTTTCATTAACAGAGAAGCTCCTTTTTATTGATGCCTCATAAGCTTAGGATCATCTTTTGTAATGTTCCCTGCTTATACTGTAAGGATCTTAAGTTTTACTAACGTTTATTTTATTTTAAATCTTTACTATCACTTCTTATATTCTACTTCCGGCCAGAATTATAAGTGTGAAGGTTTTTATGCAAAGTTTGTCTGGCGAACGCCAAGTATTTAAGTGTGGCCTTTTTGCCAAGCAGAAGAGAGGAAGCCGTGAGTTCGAAGCAGGCCGCTTACCTTAGAAGTTACGCAGTTGCTACTTTGCCTTCCAGGCCAGAGGTTTTAATCCTCTTGATAAATTAAACGTATTGTAGTGTTCACAGTCTCTGTGCTACATACGCTTTCTGTTATTATAAGGCCAATCTTATTCTAAAGTTAAATTAGAGTTTAGTTTTATTTTGATATCTTTTAAGTTAGACCCCGAGTGGAGGGTCATTGTATTCCGAAGTACGGAAGTCATTGTATATAAAGAAAAAAATAAAGGGTTTTTGTATACCCTTCGTCTGTATCCTGTCTACTTACTACAATTAGTGAACATAGCTTTAGTAAGCTCTCTGTTCTAGTCAGGTCATTGTATGTTTCCGAAGAAGGTTAGAAGAAACATTTGAACCTGATAGTGGCGCCCCGACGAAGAATAACCATGGCCGAGTTTCAAGAAGAACCTGTGCTGCCTGCAGAAACAGCTCAGAATCCAGAAATGCCAGCTGCCCGCCCTGGAAGGATTTGGGTATATTGTCCAGACCATGCGCGCTTCGATGAAACCAGAAGCAACGTTTAATGGAAACTCACAGGTAACCAGTTTTTTTGGAAAAATTGGATGACCACTTCATGCTCTACCCCGTGCACGAGTTTCAAAAAGTTACCTTAGCTACCAGCGCTTTGAGGGGCCAAGCGCTTAACTGGTTCAAATGTATCGGCAGAAGTCTCTTGGGTCAAGCAGGAAGTCCCACCTATACCTACGAAAATTTCAAGACTGCCCTACTAAAAGCCTTCCCTGTTGTAAGGGATCGTGCGAAATTAGAAACAGAACTTTTCAGTATATATCAACAAAGAATGGAAAACATCTCGAGTTTTATTTTAAGAAAAATTCACGTTTTCAAGCTCTTGTATGGAAACCGTCCGGATCCTGAAATAATTCAAGTGATTTTGCCGAGGTTACTACCCCAAGTGCAAGACTTTATTGAATTGAGAAATCCGACTACACTGGAAAAATTATTTGAGCTAGCAATCCAGTTTGAAAGTAGAAGAAAATCCAGTTAGAACGTAGCGGACGTCGAAAGAAGACGCCAATATCAACAGCGAAACCAATTTGGTACGCCAAGACTACAGCAAACTCAAGCACATGGCTACGGAGAAAAAGCGAATCAGTGGGCAAGGAAACCCGAGCATTCAAAAACAGCCGGCGAACGTCGACAGTTCAATAGCAACCCAGAAAAAAAGTCTCAAGGCCAGTGGAGAAAGAAGGAAAGCACCGAAAGAAAAAATAATTTAAACTAAAACGGATTTCTGCTGACGAGAGGGTGCGGAAATCCGAAGGCCACGAAAGCTCCTCTTCCTTCAAGTTAAATACAGTAATGGTGAAAAATTTAACTCTTCCGAAGATTGAAGTCTTGGTAAATAATATCCCGGCCACCGCAGTCCTGGATACCGGCGCGCAGTGTTCCTGTGTGGCAGAAGTCTTTTTTAGAAAGTATTTTCGCAAATACCGCATATATAATGCGGATAATACAACAGTATTAGCGGCGCAAGGAGAACAATGTAAGTGCGTAGGTAAAGTACCTTTGTACATCCGTATCAAGGACGAACAAGTAAAGGTGATGTTTTTTATAGTAAAGAATTTGCAAGCACACTTAATACTAGGAATAGACTTTCTTTCAGACGCACAAGCTACACTGGATTTTAATGAAGCGTCTCTTAAGCTGACGATGAAACCAGTGCGTGTAGAAAAAGGTTGAACCGCCAAGGTTAAATCTCGACCACCTGCCTAATGACGAGCAAGATAGAATCCGACAAGTGGTAAGTGAATTTGCTTCCTTATTTAGTGATATTCCAGGATTTACCCAGGTTACTAACCATAGTATTGACACCGGAGATGGCATTGCCGGTTCGTCAAAAACCATACCGGTATGATAAGAATAAGGAAAAAATTATAGAATGGCATATTACCGATATGCTACGTAAAAAGATCGTAAACGCCTATCTCAAGTAGTTATGCTAGTCCGGTGGTTTTATGTAAGAAAAATAATGATTATCCTTTGGAGCATCCAAAAAGGTGGAGATTCGCTATTGATTACCGTAAATTAAATTCCATAACGAAATATCCGGTATATCCGTTACCGATCATAGAAGAAATTTTAAGGAACATAAAATCAACCAAATTTATGACGACTTTAGACTTAACGAATGGTTATTTTCAAATAGGGGTCAGGCCTGAGGACGTGCCTAAGACTGCTTTTATAACCAAGTCTGGCACATATGCATTTTTGCGTATGCCGTTTGGCCTTTCTGGCCCAGCAACATTTCAGCGATGCATGGACATTGTGTTAAGACCTGTTCTTGGAAAGTCCACATTTATCTATTTAGACGATATCACTATTACTAGTGATAATCTCGACCAACATATACAGGATTTAAGACAGGTGTTTTCTTTATTAAATGAGGCCGGTCTAAAAGTTAATGTCGAAAAGTGCAAATTTGCAGCCCCTGAATTAAAATATTTAGGTTACAAAATATCGCAAAAAGGGATCGAGACAGATGAATCAAAAATAATCGCTGTACAAAAGTATCCGACTCCAAACACGGCAAAGAAGCTCTCTTCTTTTCTAGGACTTTGTTCATATTATAGGTCCTTTATAAAAGATTTTGCGGCTATCGCTGAGCCTTTGTTAAAATTAAAAAGGAAAAAGGCAAGTTTCTCGTGGACGGCCGAAGCCAATAGTGCTTTCGAAAAATTAAAACAAGCATTAACGCAAGCCCCTGTGTTGAAATTTCCTGAAAAGGATGAAAATTTAGAAATTTCAGCGGATGCTTCGGATTATGCGGTAGGAGCGGTACTTTCGCAAAATCAGCAGCCCGTGGCATTTTTTAGCCGAACTTTAAATCAAACACAAAGAAACTATTCCGCGACCGAGAGAGAGGCACTTGCAGTTCTGTTAGCAGTGCAAAAGTTCCGAGTCTATTTTGGAAAGGCGCCGATAACAGTATATTCTGATCATGCAGCGGTAACTAGATTGTACTCAGGGAAAAATTTATCCCCAAGGTTAATAAGATGGGCACTCAAGCTGCAAGAATATAATCTGGTAATCAAGCATACCCCCGGAAAGGAAAATATCATAGCAGATGCCCTATCACGAATTAAATTAGACGAACAGGGTAATACCATAAAAGTTGCAATGCTTACAGCGTGTACAATAAATTCCCGAGAAACTGTAATAACCCAACTGGGTAAGGATCCTGAGTTTGGAAGTATTTATGAGTATTTGAAGGATCCTGAAAATTTTAGCCACCAAGATATTGTGGCGATAAGAAATAGGGCGGCCCATTACGAACTAATAGATGGTCTATTATTCTACACAAAAACTACCAATTCCAACAACGAATTTCGACCTGTTATCCCAGCTAGTTAAATTAAATTAGATTAATTATAATTTACTG